GCTACCTCCTTGCCTTCGTCCTCTTCAATATTTCTCATTTGTTCGATTTTTCAGCCGAATTGTTCTTCATTTTGAATGGTCCTTTTCCTATTTTAGCAGTTTCGAGGCTGGTAACATTTCCAAAGTAGAGCAACACCTCCACAGTCGATCACATCACATATAAAAAGCATTACATTCCATTCCATTCAGTACTACAAATCGGCGCTGTTTGTCGACGGGGGGGGGGCATTTTGTACTATCATTGCTTCCTCAGTTCCAGTTTACATGTCTTACACTGTGAACACTTGTGCAGCTGGAACAAGGTAGTCAAGTCATCTTGTTAAAACCTGTCAACTCGAGAAGAGGCTGTCTAGACAGGCCGACACGTCGTTGGGAGGTAGCAAAAGTGCAAAATGCCCCCTCGTCGACAAACTGCGCCCTACAATTCAGTGATTATCCCAAGCACGTGTTAAACTTACACCTGCAGATTACGCTATCGATCAGGATACAGCTAATGGCTGGGTGAAATGGCTGGCTCAGTACAAAACCCTGCATAATTTACCTTACAGCTTTCCCTTTTGTCAAAACGAAAAATTGCTTCCCAACGAGGGGGAATCGCCACACATCTCCGGTCTACTTTCAATAGTTCCTAATAATCATTTACTGGGTAACCAAACAGGGAACCATATACAGCGCGTGAAAAATCAACAATTTCTCTGGCCCTCTGGTAAAGCGGCCCCGTGGTGGTTTTCGCCCTGCTCTGATGCTTTGATGTAACCTGTATCGAAAAGCACTAAAAATTGTGTATCATGAAAAATTGGAAAGTTTTCATTAAAAGTCATCATCAGGTAGAACAAATAGTTCACGCAAAGCAACAACACTAAGGAAACAGTAAACAACAACGGATGGATGTAAAAACGAAAGAATAACCGCATTTTCAGCGTACAAATACATGTGCTAAATATAATCTAGATAGAACTCTGGATGCTTCATTAGAAGCAAATTTCACATGCAATAACCTATATTTAAACAACCTCGCCAGCAGGCCCGTCCGAGTGGACTAGACCCTCGAGTAAATCAGAAACAGGGGTTGATGTCCGGAAGCCACTGATCTGCTTGGCTCTTATCATTCGCCTCAGACGGCCACTTCGACCATTCAGCGACGTACGGGCGCTTCTCCAGACATCTTCTTGAAGATTAGGTGGCACGGAAAAATGACGGAAGAGGCACTAAATATGCATCATTAAAACATTTCTCAAACTTATTTTACCCAGAGGAACTCACCTTTTTGATGAAATTCACTCGATCCGCGGTGAATATCCGCTTGCTCGCGGCTGTTCTGAGCTCGTAGACTTGGTCCTGATAAGTATAAATTTCCAGCGCTCTCACAAATGCTCTCGGATTTGTCGAGAAGGCGTTGTACAGTTCCATCACTTTATCGTACGGTACAAACGTGTAATCCAACGGAATATCTGGAATAATCACACTCAAATGCGCTAACACGAATACCGTATGCAGGCCTTTTGAGTCACAACTACAACCAGGACAGTTCGCAGCACTGGAGGGATTCTCTTCGAAAAACTTAAAATTCTCTGGAAATACTGCCCAACACAGGAACCTCACGAGCTTCTCCCCATTAGGTCCAAGCGAATATCCTCTTCTCTATAGTCCTCACCAACCCCAAACGAGGAATCCCTTCAATGATCCTTGCAGATTTGTCCCATAACTTGCCATTCATCTGCCCCACCTTAAAACTCGTGTTGCACCCCGCATTTCTGAGAATCTAAAAATCATTATTCAGGGCCCGTTGTGCGTCTGGTCTAACACCTGCAATAAGCACTTCTCACCTTGTTCTTTCTCAGGTATTCGCTCGAGGACCTTCTCCAGCAACTCTTCCAGAGTAGCCATCTTCTCCACTTGTAATCTATATTGTGATAGAAAGTTCATTAGACTGTTTTTCATCTCGTTCACTTCGATTTCCAGCTTGGCCAAAGCATCATCGATTTGGCGCTCCACTGCATTCCTATTACTTGTATGGCAGTAAGTCGTGCTTGGATTCGGGGCAGAGTTACATTCACTTCAAATAAAACCATGTTGAACCAACGACTCAAAAAAATTCATAAAAGTGGATAAAGAATGGCATAAAAAGTACCTCGTGCGTGAATTCAACTCCTGGCTATTAGGTGGAGTCCCTATGAAAAGATCTGGGTATGGCTTGTAGGAATAATAGTCTGGATACTGCGACATGTCGAAAGTTACTGCTATGTGATGAAGGATTCCTTTTATTCCTTTCGCAATGACCTATTCAGGACGTAGCCGGTAGCACATGCCTTACAGTGTCGCTTGGGCGAAGAACCGCTCTAGAGGTGGCAAGTAACCTCAGGGAACGATCCGCGACCTTATTAGTTGGAACCAGGCCACACGCCTAGTATCCGTGAAACGTGAACAGAACAGTGAGAGTATCTCGATTTCTGGCAGAGAGAATGGTATTTGGTCCGATGAAATGTTTGGTAATTGATTTTTGCTGCTTCAACTTATTAACCTCCCGGCCAGTGAGGTCGCAGTTTGCTTTCATCCTACTTGGCTCTTCTGCTCGATGGATTGATCATGCTATGGAGGATTCCGACGCGGGATCGTGGGCACTGATTGAGTGATCGTGGGCACTGATTGAGTCGCCGAGAGGATGACTGCGGAAATGGCGATCAACAGTTTACAGGCAATATCGCATGAATTACGTCCTTCTTACATAACGGCTCCCAGGATGACCGTTGGGAAACCACCGTACAGAATGAATATCTCAATATTTCATATTTTCTCTGCACCAGTCACTAATAATAGTATTCAGTAACTTCGCAAATTGTAAAATTCCCATTTTTCGAGTTCCCGAAACGTGTTTTGATAACTTTTTGAACTAGAGGAAAAACCCAGAATAATGACGAGTGAGTTTCTTGCTGGGATTTGCCTGATGGATAGCGCGCAGGCCTAAGAGTGCAGCCAACCACAGGTTTCACACCCAATTGATAGCGAGGCTGGTATCCATCATTCGATGGAAACCAAGGCGCCCTCGTGCGCTTTTGTACGGTTCTGAAACCGCCACGTTTGTCCACTTGGCTGCTCTCTAACTAGCAATTTTCACACGGCTTTGCTACGATCTGCTACACAGCCGCTGTTACCGCACGTCGCAGAACCTTCTGATGGCTGCAGTTGACGACGGGCATTTTGCACCTTACGTAACTGACTCGACTATGTCAGCCTATCTAGGCAGCCTCGTCTGGAGGTGACAGGTTTTGCCAATGACTGGCTAGAATGAGCTTAGCTCCAGTCTCTCAGACTTCACAGTTTCGCCAGCAGTAGACTTTAAACCGAACTTAGGGAAAATCATAGTACAGTGTAGCCCTTCCCGTCGTCATACCTGTCCCCCTGTTGCTACGGCTCCGCTCAGGCTTCCAAGCAATTCTGCGCAAAAGTAGTTGACAGTCACTGGTTGTTTATGAACAGTTCCAAACTAAACTTTATTTGGTACATCCACATAATCACAGATCACTTTCCGATTCCCTTGAAGAAGTCGCCGATTTTCGCGAACACTCCTTTTTCTGAAATTCAGGAGTGAAAAAACCCGTGAATCAAGGAAACTCCTAAGTGACTTTCAGACCTTCAGTTGTGCTTCCAGCTTCTTTTGCGTCTGCCTTCACACTCTGCACACCTAAAGTGAATCTATAAATCGTCTGAACGGACATGGTTACAGTACTGTTCGCTGCGGATGTAAGGCGTGTCAGGGGGCTGGGTTTGGCGGTCATCTCCGAAGGTTGTTGTAGCGGCTAAGCTCAACAATCTTAGGAAACCAGGCTTCTCACCCTCCCCCTCCCCCACCCGTGACACGCCGCAGCATCCTCAGCGAACACGAATGTACAGTTTGTGTTGAATATGTTGAAAACACCGAAGTGTTCCATTATGCCACCGAATCGGAAAGATCTGGGCGACTTCTACATCTTAACAACTGCTAATTCTTTTCACCTAGGGAGGGTTTTTTCGAAATGGTCCACCCTAATGGCTGGTCGCACCATGTCCACCCTAATGGCGAAACTGTGGAACTCCGCTGTGGAGACATAATGTGTTATACTAACGAATCGCTGGCTTCCGCTTTCCCCAGACGAACCACTTACCCAACTCTAGATGGATGAGAAGCTTGGTTGGCTTAGATTCTATTTAATCCGATATTCGATCTCTGTATCTGGCGTGGGATAAGCTGCGTCGCGTGACATTAAACCTTCCTCGGCTTTTCGGATATAATCTTGGAACGGATTCTGGACCGATGTAGTTGCGTGAACCGATTCCAGGTTAGGCTATGTTTGTGAAAAATAGGGCTGAATTGGAAAACGTGCAGAATAGTACTACATTAATGGTTGCACGATGTAAACTGTTGAGCAATAGCCCCCCCCCCTTTTGGTGTGGGTCTCTGTGAGGCACTGATCAAAAAAATGCGAGCTAGGGGAGAAGCGAGGTCTAGCAACGCCTAGAAAATGGCCCATCGCGCGCAACAGCGTGATGTTTCATCTTCGCTCAAGGCACGTTCTGCCGCTGAGGAAAACTTTCGGAACTTTCCCTTGAAAATAATTCCCTCTGATACGATCTGAAACAACCTCCTCCTTCCCCATCCTACCTACCTTTTTCCTGGACTTTCCCTACTTCCTACCACTTTTTCCGCTTTCCCAGAAATTTCCCAGAGAATTTTCCAATTTTTCCCCAACGAATTTTGGCTGCCGGGAACGGAGTAGTTTTCTTTTTCTCAAAACGATTTTCATCCCACTAGCCAGCCCAAATGACCAAAAGTGCAGACCCCCCATCCTCCCCGTGGGTTTTCCCAACGCTACGAACGTGGTCTATCTTCGCTACCATAATCTGTTTCCTGTCGCCATGGATTCCAGTGCCCGAGCGCAACTTACGCAGTGCCTGCGACTGAGGTTTCGATGCGATCCACATCCTGAATTGGAAAAAGCGATCCCTGATACTGCCCTAATATAACGGTATCCAAGGCCCCAGCCCTCAAAAATACTCGGTTTCGAGATCTGAGCGAGCGCCTCCCTGAGGATTACACCAGGCCGCAATATCTTATATCCCCCAGAACTGGTACCCTGATTTCGCCCTACATTCACAAATAACAAAAAAATGCTGTTCTTGAACCACCAGCAATTCGACCAGATTAGTTTTTCATTTTTGAAACAGATTCGGCTTGGAAAGACCCAATGGCATATAGCGCTTATCGGCATCTCGCCAAAGAGTCATCTTTACAGAAATCAACTCCGCTCTCCTTGAAACCCGTCATGCTGGGACTACCGCATTGTTCGCTCAGTTCCTGGTTAAATATTTTCTCGCTGAACGACCCTCATCCTCCCATTTTGTTCTACCAACGACAACGCGTGTTTAACTAGCGCCTCTCCGAAGCAAATCGTAGGAGCTGCCTTTGAGAGCATTGTCTCTCTGATCTGTCACTGTCTCATGATGAAGAAGACGATCGGCAGTTCCGGAAGAGCGTCCTGGATCACACGCGCAGATGTGTGGAACTTACTTTCCCTGCGCAGGCGAGTGCGCGAAGTAGCGTCTATTAAGCGGCAGAAACGCACGCGCTGCCTTCGCGACAGGACCCACCCGATATAGCAGGGCTGCGGCGCTGCTTCATCGGGTGGAGCGCTTGACTCTACCAACGCTCTTCGCGTCTGCAACTCTCTAGTTGGCCATCTCTTCCTCAGCCTCTGTCTGCCTTGTCAACGATCTAGAAGATACTCTGCCAGTGAATGCCGAGAACAGGGAGTAGCCCTCAGCAACCCAGCGTGATTGCTGCGTAGCAGTACAGAGGGTGGGATCTATAGTGCGATTGAGCGACTACATGTTCGCAATAAACCCTATTGCGCTGCTTTTCGGGAGATTCTTTTTAGTGGAAACGATACGTATGCAGGTAAAAGTGAGAAAGAAGCCTACATAGTTCTGAGTCATGCGATCCCAGGTCACATTTTTGTAAGAGAACGCGCTATCGTGACCGAACCGCCCCCAATAGCTACAGTATTCTTCTTTTGTCAGGATTGTGCCTGTGCAACTTGCTTTTCCCATAGTAGTAGCGTGCCCCATATCAAATTCATCAAAGAAGAACAATTATGGGAGTGCTTCAGTTAGATGTGAATTTGCTCCTCCTGCGCGACTGAGGTAGCGGTTGCATCCACTATCTCGGCGTAAAAACAAGTGGCCAGGACATCCGTGCCATCGTTTCTGTTATTAACCATCCACCTCGATTGAGCCCCATCTGCCGCTCTAGCAAGCCGAAATAACAGAAGACCCGCCAAAGACCGTAGTAATAGAAGAACTGCCTGTGAGTATGGGCAGGACATTGTTTCCAATAAGAAATCAGCAAGGGTCAAAGCAGCGACCATACTGGCATCACTGTCGGGCACTTCTCGTCCCTATCACACCTTTTGCTCGCCCTCTGCTCGTACAAATGCGCTCGCTAGTGGCCTTATATGGAGCCCTAGCGACGATTTTGCGCTGTTTTTTCTCCACCATTGATTTTCTTGCCATCTTGAATCCCTGTTCAGCTACGGTTTGGTGGGAGTCTGAGTTAATGCGTCCACCAATGATGCTGGGATCGCTATTCCATCTCCTGGCCAACTCACCCATTGCCTTCGAGGGAACTTATAATTAAATATTTTGAGTCACCTTCTTCTACTCCATCGCGCACTTTATCCCAGGTTTCCTCGGCGAAGGTCACTGAAACAGCGATTTCTCAAAACTGAAGAATTCAAAAGTCATTAGTGATCGCAGGTTGATGTTAAGTATATTTTAGATTGTTAGTGACCACCACCCATTCAACGAAACCCAACACGATTAAGGAAGGTTGGTAGAGCCCCG